TCTTGGCTTGCCCAAGTGATGATAGATCTGACAGCGGAAGCTGTTTTGTGTGGTAAATTGCTGCCAGCTATGGTTTTACACCTGCTGGACACCTCAGCTGAGCATTGGTTCTTAACTCCTGGGGGCTGAGAGTTTAGGATCAATTCTAAGGATTATATATATATTATTTATTTATTTCAGAGAGGGGGAGAGAGAGAGAGAGAGAGAGTGAGTGTGACAGAGAAAGAAACATCAATGATGAGAGAGAATCATTGATCAGCTGCCTCCTGCACACCCCACAATGGGGATCGAGCCCATAACCCAGGCATGTGCCCTGACCAGGAATCGAACCATGACCTCCTGGTTCTTAGGTTGACGCTCAACCACTGAACCACGCTGGCCGGGCTCTCTCTTGTATTTTAAGACTTTAGCCAAGTTGCTTATGTTCTGTAAAGCTTTCTTTTATTTATCTTCAATGTCTCATCTCTCCGGAGCAATAAGCACCTGTTGGTATCACTGAAAGGCTCTCTTTCCTGGGATGTTTGTACACAAATGATCAGAATCCTCCCAGCTTGGATCATTTGGATTTTGAGATTATTAAGACACAACTGCAGATCATTTTAAAAGTTCTGTTTAGCGTTTCCATCTTTTTAATGTCTTTCTGCCAACAAAGTGGAGATTTACTCTAAACCAAACAGTAAGGCCACTCTGTGACTCCACCAACTTGGAAGGGCCTGGAAAGAAATCTGGTTTCTCCATCAATTTTCTGATTGATTTCTTTCTGTAACTCATTCCATCTCAGGAACATGTCTCCCCTCCATTAAACTGATGTCTCACACCAAATTAAATCAAGCTTTTCTGTCTTCAAACTTGACAAGGATATTGTGATGGTGGTATTTGGGTTTCCATGTACTTTCTTGAAGACTGACTGTCAAGTAAAAGTAAACAAAGAAGTAGGGTGTCAGAAAATAAGAACCCTCACTCTAGAGGACAGAATTTCAGAGTGAATCTTTCAACTCCTGTTGTGGGCTAGAGAGATGGATTCCTCAATCTTACTAAAAAATCAGAGCGGTCATGTAAGCACATTGCCATCCGGGGTGGCGGATGTGGGCCAACTGCAGATAGGGCATGACTGGGGTCCCTTTGTGACACCCACAGCATCCTTCTGTGAGAGAAGCTCATTTCGCAGCGGGAAGAGGGAGCAGCAGGCTGGAGGAGATCCAGAGCTCTCCATTGGGAGCTCTGTTATTATTGACTCTGGCCTTTAGGCAAATTCCAGTGGTATCTCAGGGTCCCCAGGGCTGAGAACGGGATTCCCTTGAGCACGCTAACTGCCTTTGGCTATGACACACCCCTTGGCAAACTCTCTCAGCAGTTGTCACTTATAGTTTCAGTGTGGAAATCAGTGATTTATCTTCCCCTGAAAATTGGTGGTGGTGGTGGTGGTGGTGGCTGTGAGGAGAGAAACTCTGATGGGACAACTCCCTACAACTGGAACGATCTAGAGTGGGTGAGAGGGTGAGAAAGGCTGAGGAAGCCTTTAAGCTTGCTTTTGGTCATTTTCATGTTTCCTTTCAGAATAATGAATTTTTGAAGTCAGACAGAAATAGATGAAATATTAAACTATCGTGGGAGAAATAGACAAAGCAAAATTTTTCTTTGTGTACAACAGGTGACAGTGTTTGCTGTTTGTAACATGGGGATTTGAATGTAAGTGAGCATAACCCTCTATACGTCAAAGATGGCTTTTCCCTCTGCAAATCTGCATCTCATCTGATACAACTCAATGTAGCTAAAAGCTTCTTTACACAGAAATACCTTCTCTTACTGTGAATCACAAGGCGCTGTGCATAATGGGGGCTCCATCCGTAACATCAATGGGCAGAGAGTTCAGGAGAGAAATATCCTTGAACTCCCTACTGACTACTGAACAGAGGCAACTTGTGGAAAGGCCATATTGGGTTAATGGCGGTTGGTTACCTGGGACTTTTAAAATGACTTCTATGAATTATAGAAATCCACTTCAGGAATTTAACCCTCAATAAACAGTATTCACAAGGAAGAATCACATTCTTTACATCTTTGAGACCTGCTATTGGGAGGTCAGTGAGAAAGGTCAAATGACTAATTAGTGAACTATAGACTTAAATGACTTTACTATCATTGAAATCTAGGGTTATGGAGCCTTAGATCTAGAAAAGAAATTGGAGCCTATTGATTACTCTTCTTTGTTGTAGCTTCTTGGAGGCATTATGGGTGAGGTAAGAAAATGAGGATTTTGTAGTGAAACAAAAGTAGAACTTTATAATTCCACATCCTCAGGATGTTTCTAGACTTTCTCATGAGGCTCATGGACTAGAGCCCATAAAATAGAAACTAGGGTTAGCTGTGCCCTTTTTGACGTCCCTAAATTAATGTAGTATTAATCTACCTTCTTCCAGTGGAGGAAGAAAAAACTGAGAGGCCATCAAGAAACACACAAGTACCCAACGAGTCTTCCTAATGAGATTTTCCAACTTGGTCCATACTGCTGGCAAAAGTCACCATTTTCTTTCCTTAACAAATGAGACAGGAGTGCAAGGACACATGAATACAAGAAGCAGAGTATAGATGGATGGTAGTAGAGGGGACTGGGGCTTTATATTATCCTCCGATACCACATTTATAGAATCAGGACAATAGGGTCACTTTTTCCTGTGTTATTTTTTGTTGTTGTTTTGTTTGTTTGTTTGTGTGTGTGTGTAAAACCTAAAAACATGTTGCTTCTTTGAAGTAAGGTTGAAAGAAACTCTGTCTGGGGTCCAACCATTTCATTTTTGACTTTGCCATTTTGAAAGATCACTAAGGATAGGCTTGCACATGCACACACACAAAATCCATTACCGCTGTTCAATATGTCCATCAATGTAATATATATCAGGCTTTGGTTCCAGCTTCACAGGTGGCTCTGTCTTCTTTGATCCTTGAAGTGAGTCTTCTTTGGATGTTCCTTTGCTAGAAAAAAATGTCAAGATCATGTTCATTGAGAACAGTCTGGTACCGGGGAGGGTGTTGACAACACACCTGGAGATTCATGTATTTTTCTGGAGGGTTGGATGTGTGTTTGGAGAGAGCTGGTCTTTGCAATTTCATCCACACCAGAGAAGGGCTTAGATGTTGAGCTAGACTATAATTACTACCTTCAAAGGAATGCATAATTGCTCTGGGATATTGGTGACTGTGTGACTATATTTGGGAGATGCCTGAATTGCACCTGTTGGGAAGCTGGCTCTCCTGGTGTGATGCTAGGGAAGCACCTTCCATCCTCAGTGTGAGGCCTTCTCTCGCTTTGTGCCCCTCTGCCACAACATTTGGGCTGGGATTGTGTCAGGCCCCAGGTGAGAGGCCTGCTTCAGCCATGGATATACCTCAGTAGACATCCAAGGGATTGCTTAGAGAAAGGTGATTTAATTGAAGATACATTGTTCTTGGCAGACACATCCAACAGTCTACTGGGGGAGACGATGGAGGATTCCAAATATATCTCCATCATTCCTTCCACCACACAGTCTTGTTTGTGAGAGTTTGGGTGATAGGGAGGCTTGGCCAAGAAGACACCTCATGGGTGGAGTGATACTACCTAACCACACCTCTGGTATGCTGAGACACCCCAAGCAGAATGTGTGTGGAGAAGGCAGGCAGGGGAACCACACCCTGAGTCAGCCTCCCTGCCTGCTGAGAGAAAATAAGGAGGGGCCTCTAGAATCAATCCTGCTTTCCCAGAGCCTGCCGCTGCCATCTTGAAACTTAATACAGAGGGTGAGGAATGCACGTGGGAATGTGGTCCTGGGAGTTAGAACCTTTATTCTCCTCAGATTCTTCTCTGAAAATAGCTCAGGTAACTCAAGAGCTCGTGGGGCCTTGAATGCAGTGGTATGTGCGACTTGGGCAAGAAAGTGCTGGCTGTTTCTATGAGGATCCCATTAATTGCTCTGTAACTGAGAGATGTTTCCCAAGGATTCTCTCTTCCTCTCTCTTTGACTCTCTTTTCAGATCTGAGTTGAGATAATTTGACAGAAGAGCACTCGTTTTGCTCTCTATCTCATGGAGGTCAGGCTAAGAGGTCACATTTTCAGCACATATATTAGGTGCTGGCTACATTGGTTCAGACTTCACAAGCAATTTATTTTTTATCATTTTGATTTTCTCCATGTGGCAGATGAGGAAATTGATACTCAGAGGGATTGGGAGAGTTGACCAGGATCACGCAGTTAATGAGAGTCTGTGTTTGTCAAAGTAATCTAGGTTATGCCTCGGTAATCAGGAACCCTCAAAGCCTAACAAGTAGCCCTCAAATCCCATGGCTTAAAAAACACACAGAAGTTCATTCCTCATATATATTACAGGCCCATGCAGTCACACAGAGACCCAGTTGGAGGGAGGCTTCACCAACTTAAAATCTCACGGTCTGGGAACATGACAGTGAAGAGTCTGCAGGAGCAGTTATATTCTGGAAATGACATCCATCACTTTTGCTCACAGCTCATTGGACAAAAGTAGTCACATGGCCCTGCCTAATGGCCAGCTGATGAGCTGGTACTCCGCCCCACACCTTGATGAAGGGGTGCACCAAAATGGTTGGCTAACAGAAGTTACTAACAGAAGGTAGACTTTGAGATCTTAACCACAATGTGCTACTGCCTTTCAGAAGAATGATTTAATGCTGGACAAGAGGATTGAAGTGGCTGTGTGGACCTTTGTTATTCATTCCTCCCCTTTCCATCTTTATCTTACCATGCCTGTTGCTGGATCCCAAAGAGGCTCAGTTAGGATCTCCTCTCAGAGGTCCTTCTGGCCTCTACCAGGCTCCTGGCCTGTTCAAGACCAACACTCCATGCTCTGTGGCCCATGCTTAACCTCTGGGACTCATGTGATCAGCACCCACACAGCTGGGAATCACTGACTCACAGGCTGAGTCACTGCTTGCATCTTTTGTGCCTGGAAACGAGATTTGTAGGACAGAGTGTATCTGCCTCCTACACTCCTGGCAGGCTCCCGTGGCTCTGTGCATTCCTGCTGCAGAGCCGTATGGAGCCTATCTGGGACATCTAAGAGAAGCGCTGAACAAATGTCACTATCGATAGCTGGCAGAGCACAGTCGGCTCAGGCCTGGAAGTCTCAGATATGGACATCTTGGCAGAAATCTCCATCAGGTTTCTGGATATGGGGCTTGGGAAATGTGTCCATTACCCCGCCCCTTTATAGTTCATGGACTAATGGACTCATTTATTTTGTCAACTTATCCTCCAGGTAAGATACAGTTTCAATCAGCCCAGGAGTGACCAGCGAGGGAGGCTAAGAAGAGGCCACGTGTAGAAGCTGTTCGCAAACACGGCTTTGGATAGAACTCTCTTCCTTACAGGGCAAGTAGAGGGAAAAAATCACATCACACCCATGGGAGACAAATAGTCAAACTCAAAGAAAACAGAATGCTATCTTGAAAACTAAAAAAAAAAAAAAACAACAAAAAAAAAACATACTTCTGAAAATTATCCTCTCTAGGAAGTAACAGAATTAAAACAAACAAAACCAACTCATTAATCCTCGATCTTTTCATTTCCACTTTTTTGTTGTTTGTTTTTTTAATCCTCACCCAAGGACATACCTAGAGAGAAGAAGAGGGTGGAAGAAAAAGAGGGAGAGAGAGAGAGATGGGGAGCGAACCCACAACCTACACAACCTAGGTACATGCCCTGACCAGTAATCAAACTGGCAGCCCTTTGGTGCATGGGATGATGCTCCAACCAACTGAGCCACGCTGGCTGGACAACTTGTCTCCTCTTGACTTTCTCCTTTGTCTCATAGATGCCAAGTCATTTTTGCAACCTTTGAGTAGGACAGAGTCAATGAACACAGAACATAAAAGATACTGAAGAGAAATAGGACAACTGAAATGACACAGACCTGGTCAGAAATAACGTCTGTTTTGGTAAAAAATAAAATGACACTGTAGAAAATGGAGTTAGTGACATGGAACAGACTTAAACCCCAGTGTGCAGAAAGAAGGTTAAAGAGTGAGAAAAGCCAAGAGGAAAAGAGAGAACAAAGACCCAATAAATGAATGATGGGTGCTTTTTATAGAAGGAAATCAAAGATCCGTTCATTAATGATTATTGATGTAAAAATCCCACATGGAAATGCTAGTAAATTATGCTCTTATAGCATCAATCCCCAGTTAATAAATTTCAAAATTCTCAATTCAAAGAAGAAATTTTAAAAAATTGAGACCAGTGATGATAAATACTAAAAAAAATTATTAAAAAGATATAAAATAAGACTTGGATATTCTCAGTCAGAAGATCAGAACATATAGAGATATAAATTCTTCCTATGTTATGATTTAAATACTTTCAATAAAAATCCTAATAGCATATATTCAAGGGGCCCTTGAAAATGTAAATCTAACATTTGTCTGGAAGCAGAAATGGTGTAAGTAACCAAGGCATTTTTAAAAGAGCTATTATAATAGATTGTAATCAAAACAGCATGGTGGTGGTAGAACTGATAGGGAGAGAATGTACAGAGAAGATGTCTCAGCATTATTTAATGATTCTTCCTTGTCTCATTTTAAATGCCAAATTTAATCACAAACTTGCTCTTCTATATATACCCAAGTCTATTTTTGGGATAAGTGGTTAACTATTTGAAATAAAGTTGGCATCCTTTCCCCAAGCATACACCACAATATAAAGACCAAGAAAGGACTAAATAGTCAATTGCGCAAAAAGAAGCCAAAATAAAATATAGATGGATCTATCTCTGATGTCAAGATTGGTTTACTTTGTCTATGTGCAATGAGATGGGGGAAATTTTATTCACCACAATTCCACTTATGAATGGAACTCATTTGTTGGAGAATGTTCATGAGGTAGAAAGGGAGGCAATACAGGGGGCTGAGCGATCAACATTGCTCTGTGGGAGACAAGAAGAATTTCCTTGACATTCCCGCAAGTAAGGGAGAGGGTGACAAAAAGAAAAGCAAAAGGAAGGCATCATGGCATGTGTGGAGGGAAGTGGAAGGAGCATCTAGAGGGACAAGATGTTGAACTGTTACTATCTACCAGATTGGAGTCTGGGTGTGTTCCCAGTGTCTCCATAGGTCAGGTGACTATTCAGTATGTGGATCCCACGAATACAAAAGCCATAAGAAAATCTCAAAGGAGCGATTGGTGGATTTCCTAATTTAAGATTAAAAAAAATTTTAACATCAGGAGTCTGCAAACTACAACCCATGGGCCACATCCGCCACACCCATTATCTATTGATGTATTATCTATTATTGCTTTCTGGCTACCACATCGCGCTGAGTAGTTGCGATACAGAACATATGGCCCACAAAGTCTAAAATATTTACTATCTGGCCCTTTACAGAAAACTCTGCTAATCTCAGCTACACATAAAAAAAAATCACAATGAAAAGGCAAGCAACAAACTCAGAACAAAATAAAACACTTGCCACATGTATACCAAAGCAAAGAATAATACCCTAAGTATGTGAAGGGCCTTCCAAAGTTATTGAGAAACTCCCAGTTGGCCATAGGTAGAGGGTTTGAATAGACAATTCATTGAAGAAAAATACAAGTGGATCAATGTATGAAGAAATGGAAGTTCAGACTCATGAGTGAACAACAGCACAATGAACCTCAATCCTGGAAAGTGTCTGGAGAAAGGATGTCATGATATGGACAGCTTAAGACAGTGTTGGCTGGGGGGTCTGCTCTAAAGCGGTTTGGCGATATTCATGAGTACCGTCAAGAACACACAAAGGTTACACCCTTGGATCCAGAAATTCCACTTCTGAGAAGCTATCTTGAGAAACTATTTGCAGATATAATTATGGAATGATAAGAATACCCTGAAGTAATAATATCTCCGGCTCCACTTCTTACTGGCTGGGATGACTTTGTGTGAGTCACTAAATCTCATTAAGCCTCAGTTTCCTCATCTGTAAAATGGGAATTAAAAATGGTACCCAACCATAGGGTTGTTGTAAATGGAACAGTACATATAAATTTTTATGTAGAAGACCTGTTACATGTATCAAGTCCCAATTAGTTTTTAAAAGTGAAATAATAGGGAAATAGTTAAATAAATACAGGTATGTCCTTATAAAGAATATCAGTCATTAAATTAATGATTTATAGCAATCGATGATATAGAAAAATTCATTGTCAAAATAAGAGCACAAAATTAAATATACAATGTTATTTCAATGACATTGAAATATGGAAAATCCATAAGCACATATACGAAAGGACTGAAAATAAATATATCAGATATTAAGAATAGACTCAGTGGCAGGAATAGGGTTAATGTTATTACTTGCTTTTTCTTCAAAGAAATTATTCTAAATATTATTTTTTTCATAATTAACCAACAAACCTTTTCTAATGTAAATTAGAATAAGTAGGGAATAGAAAATTACAGATGTTGAGGCAAGAAAAAAAATCCAAGTGCATATTGACCCTTTTCACTAGGAAAGAGCTGGTGGACGAAGGGAAGTCAAGGGAAATTACTCTCTTGTCTAACTTCAGGCCAGTCTCCCAGGTTTAAGGCTCACCTAAGGAGTGGGAAACCTGAGGGGTGAGGGTCTGTGTTGGTCATAATTCTCTCAGGTTACAAACTTCTCTTCCTCTATTTCAGACACCAGGGATCCCTAGCCTACTTCTACTGTATCTCTACCAAAGTCTGATTATTCCTGCAGGGTCATCCCAGGTACGTTTTCCTATCTCCTCCTGTGTTCCCTCACCCAAGCATACCTTGAGCCTCATGCGTTCTCCACTTGGGCTCACCAACCTCCTCCTCAGCCATCATTAGGACACAACTTGCCAAATCAACTTGGAATGAGGCTTCAGTCGACTAAACAGCCCGCTATGCTCTCCCCACAGATTCCCATTGAAATGTGACTATAAATTACTTTACTTACACTTAGAATTACAGGGAATCTCCTGTAATTTAGTATCTCAGTTCACAATCACAGAAGTCTGATCATACCCCCCTCCCCCCAACTTAAAATTAGCCTCTTAAGCCTGGCCTAGGAGGCCTTAGTGATCTGGGCCTCGCTGATCTCTTAGGGCTTCTCCTGGCCTCCAAGCTCACCAGGCCCCTGTACTTTTGTTACTTCTACTTGAAATGCTCATCCCCTTCCCTCTCATTTCCTACGACACCTCCTTAGAATGCCTTTTCTGCTCCAACTTATCCAAATAGCTTCTCAATTATCCTCTATCACATCACCCAATTTTTCTATGAACACTCACTGTTAGTATTATTGTTATTTCCATGTTTGTTTCCCGTCTTCTCCCATCAGAATGTTAAGTACTTGAGGAAGAGGCTCCGGCTGTCATTTGTCTTGTGCCCAAGGAGCCAGCCCAGTGCAGCACTTACATGTTCACATACTGTCTAATAATAGTCATTAGACAGTTGTCTAATTGACATGGTAATTAATTGTTCACATAGACATGTTAACGGATAGCATTGAAAAATAAGACATAGTTAATAATACATCAAAAAATATTGTTCTAGGTACTGCTGCAATGCCACTGATGGTCTGGGATAAAAAGACATCACCCTAATATTGAAAATGGGAAGGACAGGACATAGAGGGGCCTGAGAACTCCAATAGGCCATAGAGATCATTTGAACCTGCCCTTGCCATTTCGCAGGGGTGAAACCACCTGAGAAGGGTGCACAGGTGGCTGAGCAGAGCCAGACCATGACCCAAGATCATGGCAGGTCTTGCCTGAAGAACCCACACCAACTCCAGGACCTTCAGGAAGTCCTTCCCAGCGCCCTGTTTGCTGCTTCTGGTGGTTCTGGGAGAGCTCAGAGTCCATCATCTGCTGGGTGGAAAGAATGTGCTACAGGTGGTTCGCCTGCTCCGCAGATAGGTGTAGGCACCAAGGAGAGTCCTCTCTGCCCATAAGGTGGGTGAGCACAGCAGCAGGGAATGCCTGCTCAGGGCCCGGCCCGAGGATTTGGCTTTCTGCCTCCTAGGTTGGTTTCACCTCGGCCAAGAAACCAGTTATCAGATGGGAGCAACATTCCGTCATCCCAGCCTTGTGTCACGAGAGAGGCCTAGAGGTAAAAGTCTTTGGGACATATTTCCCTGATTAAACCATCCTGGCCCCTCCTGACATGTAAGTGTGGAGGGAAGGAATGCATTATAGGAACCCAGCGCACTTACCTTTTCAGAACATGATGTTGGGCCCGAACACTAATGACACCTCGGCAAACAAATGTTCTCAATGAAGAGCTTCCAAATGCCATCCGTGTGACATGAGGGTCACGGAGGCCGCAAAGAGCTGCATTATTTGTAAGCCGAAGATCAGACCCAGGTTGTGTCACTGCTGCTGGGGACAGAGTAAAAGCAAGTGGGCTTCAGAAGATCAGAAGGAAATACAGGTCAATGGAGACTGTAAAATCTCTAATCCCCACTGTAG